CCTGAGCTATATCACCGGCTCTGCCTGCCCGACATGCCCTCTTCTTACATCTCTTGGCTTCCATTTTTCTCCTAGTTTCCTCCAACCTCTCTAGCCTCTCCCTGGCATCCATTGTGGACTCTTCCTCATCTCCCTCTTCATCTGCCAAGGTTTTCCATGTCCCACTCATGACTTTGCAATCCACCATCCTGTTTCCCTGATGAACTCACCCACATGAGAATTTCAGCTATCAGCTATACTTATGCCCACCCTGTCCCTGCCTCTTCCTTGAGATGTGCAGCTGATTATCTACTGTTTACTTGAACAACTCCATCCAAATGCTCCACAGGCATCTCAAATTCAACCTGTGAGACCATGAGCTCACCACCTGTCCTCCCTCCTCTTATCCAAACCCACTCTACTTCCTACATCCCCCATTTTGTGAAGGATGCCACAGGGCACTTAGATCTCCTTTCTTCCCCAATTTCCATGTGTCAAATGCCAAAGCAAGTCACTTCTACTGTTTAAATATTTCTTAATTGCATCCTGTCAGGACCAAAACTGACCTGTGAGTCATCCCTCTCTTGCACTAACTTTTGCTCCAGACTTCCCCTAAGCACCTAACATGGCCTTCAGCTCCCTTTAAACCCTTTTTTTTCCAGTATTTGGTCCCATTCTAATCAGAGCCACTCCCTGGAGGTAGACCTGCTCCTTGGGCTCTGCCAGTTTCAGGTCAGCCCCTAGGAGCCCATTGTCCTGCCTGCCTCAGAGGACACTGAACGCTTCTGCTGGAAAAAGAAAATGAAAACAAAAACAAAAAATCTTTCTGCATTCTAGTCCTAAAAATGCCATTAAGTAGTTGTGTAATCTTAAATCACTTCCCCTCTGTTTCTTAATCTTAGTAGTAGTAATAAAATACCTAATAATAATTACTGAGTAATTACCAGAACAAAATTTTAAGCACTTTAGGGGGCTGTCACATTAAAACCTTACAATCCTCTTGTTGACATACCATTACCATCCCCATTTTTACAAAAACAAAAGCTATAACAGTAAAAAACTGAATTTGGCCAATTAAGCATTAGGACCAGAAGTTCAAACACAACCAGGGCAATTTAGCAACTCAGACCCTGTCTCAAAATAAAAACTGAAAAAGACTGAGGATATAGGTGAGCATGGACCCCCTGGGTTCAATCCCCAGTACTTGGGGTTGGGTGGGGAGCCTATTGGGACCGAGTGGGTTATAGGTAGAGAGTGACTACACACGAGTACAGTTCTAAGAAAGGCAGCACAGCTATTAGCTTCTTTTTTTTAAAAATATCTGGTTTTATTTTTCAATCTGTACGCATGATTCAAGTTCAAAATCACACAGTAGAAAATAAAAGCCACCTATATTTTTATTAACATTGCATTCATACACGTATCATGTATAAAAGTGGTAGCACTATATATTCTGCTTTTTTCCCTCTTAGGCTAAACACATTATAAATAGTTCTACAACAGAATTTTTAATTGTTGCATAATATTTCATTATGGATGATCCATAATTAACCAAGTACTTATTTTTAGACGTAAAATTTGGTAAGGTTTTTCTATTAGAAACAACATCAAGAAGAAATCCACATCACTAAAATCTTACAGACATATCTTACAATCTTACAGACTAAATTCCTAGGATAAATTCATAAGGCAAAGTGTTCTTGTTAAAGTGTGTATGCATTTGAAGGCTTCTTGATATGTTTTGCCAGATTATTGTCTAGAAAGATTACATCACTGTCAGTGGACAGTAAGGGATCCTCTCTTAGCAACATGGGGGATTTTTGCATGCTTTTTAAATATAATACTTGCCACTTAGAAAATATGAAACTTCATTACTTTAATTTGCACTTATTTTATTTCTGATAAAACTCAACATTTTTTGTTAGTATTTGTTGGCTTATAATTAATTTTCAGGCACCGAAGCAAAAAGAATCTTAACAAGAAAAATATAAGCAATGGTCTGATTCTATAGACCTTTGCAGGCAGTGACAGCATAATTAAGTAGCATCACCTCTGCAGCAGTTCCATAAAAATGATACATTCTGATATATATATATATTACGTATGTATATATAT